GGATGTGACAAGGAGAGGGCAGGAAGGGTCTCTCAGACCCCACCATGGATAAATATTCCCGGGATGTGACAAGGAGAGGGCAGAGAGGGAGCAGCACAGGGTGGGGAGGGGGGGTGAGAAGAACGACGTTTTTTCGAAGGTGTTTTGTTTGGTCGGTCGTTTTTTTTATTTTTTTTTTTCCTTTTTTTTTTTTTATTGGCATAAATAATTCATACACTGTCACCTCACCAAACACTGCACGAGAAACCACGGGAACAAACGGCGATCCAGGTCTGCAGGTCACAGAGATTCGCACCCAGTCGGACAGCGGAAATTATAAATAACTTTTCTGCGAGTGTAGAAAACGTTAGAAATCGTCACTGTACAAATTTACATCGGGGGACATCCATCGTGCCTTTCTCAGCGCTGCTCTTCTGTCGTTTTGTTTTGGTTTTTTTTTTTTTTTTTGTGGAGGGGGTGATTTGTAAGGTTTGGGTTTGGTTTTTTTTTTTCACTGTTTGTCGTTTGGTTTTTGTTTTTGTTTTGTCTCGTTTTTGTTTTTTTTTTCCAGTTCTGCAACGACGACGACAAAATATATATATATGTATATATATATATTTTTCTGTATATATTTATAAAAAAAGAAAAAAGGGGGGAAGAGGCACCAAAAAAAGAAAAAAAGAGGGGGAGATGAAAGTCAGCTCATTCTGCAACGGTGAAAACACGGAGAAAACAAAGCAGGCCATCGAGTTCAGTTGGAAACTGTACAGGATTTAGAGCTCGTTATATATGTATATATCTATATACATACATATAGAGATATGTATATATATTTATATATACCTTATGTACAAGGAAATGTAACTTTTTTTTTTCCTCTAACAAGGAAAGGAAACTTTACAGGGACTGGAAATGAAAGGCGGCTCTTGCAGCTTCCCCAGGAATTGCTGTTGGCAACCAAAAAAAAATAAAAATAAAAAAATAGAAAAAATTAGAGATATAAATTCAAATAAATTAAAATAAATAAAAGGGGAGAAAGAAAGGAGGAAGGAAAAGCCAAGGTGCCCGGCAGAGCACCGGCCACAGGTGGCACTTGGGAGGGAAAAACAACGTCTGAGGGCACCCCCAGCACAGAGCCCTTCTCCTCAGCCTGGCCAAAGGGACAGGGCGTAGGCACCAACTCGCCCAGAGAGTCCTGAACTGGCAGAGGGGGGGTT